CCCCGCATTTGTGCTTTTCAGTAAATCACTGGACACTCCCAAGGACACACATTCCTCTGGGTCTTACATTCTGGGCCAGATCCTCAGCTGCCGTTGATCAGCAGAGCGTTGTTGCCCTGAGTTAAGCGATGATAGCTTGCACCTGTGAAGACCGCCCTGCTGCTTAAAAGCTGAAGATCTGATGCTTGCTTCCACCCCCTGGCAAACCCACCTGGGTCTAGGAATTGAGAGTGGATAAGGCAGGGGAGGTGGTATCATGTATTGGACTAGCTTCTGGTGGTGAGAGAGACAAGCATTTGAGCTTACACAGACATGGTGAAAGTAGAAATTCAAGAAGTAATGGGTGTCATCTGCCGCAAAGGAGATATAGGTTAGATCTTAAGAAAACCTTTCTAACTATAAAGGCAGTTAAAGTCTTCCAAGGGAGGTTGTGGAATTCCCTTTATTGGAGATTTTTAAGAGCAGGTTGGATGTCAGGGATGGTCTAGGTTTATTTGATCCTTCCTCTCAAAGTCCCTTCCAGTCCTATGTTTCTATGGTTCTGTGATTTAAAAAATCACTTGGCCTAGGTGTGGCTTTGAAAGTATCTCACCGAACATGCTGTGACTAGGTCAGGAAAACTGGACTCTAGTTTAACTGGGTCTATTACAGGAGTGGGCGGGTGAGGCTCTATGGCCTGCGTTGTGCAGGAGGTCAGACTAGATGATCATGATGGTCCCTTCTGACCTTAAAGTCTCTGAGAACTGTAATGTCATTGATCCAAAGGAGACCAAACTTCTGGGCCTGGTTCTGATCTACCATGCTCCAGTGTAAATCAGGAGCAGCTTCACTGATGTCAGTGGTCCAAAAGCTGCTTTCACCTTTCCTGGTGTAAATCTGGAATATACCATTAACTCCAGGGTCATTCTAGATTTATACCAATTTGAGAGGAGAATTTGCTCCAATGGGGTCACATCAAAGTAAACCCATTGTAAGGTCAGAATCTGGACTATTACAATCAGGTGGACCAGTGTAAATCCACAGTAATTCTACTGAGTTCAGTGGCGATGCTCTGAATTTACTCTAGTGTGAGTTAGATCAGCCAGGCCATTACTGTTTACACACGAAGCGGTTCATTGTGTTACAATAGGTGAAGATGATCAGAAATGGGGAAGCTGTGATTTGAGATGCATCAGCTGTATTAGAACTCAAGTCACATTCAGTTTTCCAGGAGGAGTTTGCTGTCAGGGTCGGTCATTAATCTGAAGTTAGTGCTGTTAATTGGGGAGGGAGCGCTCCTCTGCTCCAGCTGGAAAAATATCCTCTTGTGAGTGTAATAAAGCCTGCAGCATGCAAGGAATCATATGATCATTGGCTCTAACTGGCTTCAAGTTCAGTGTCACATTGTTGCAGCTGATGTATGTTTGCATATTACCAAAGGAGAGATGAAAGGAGACCAAATCAGATGATTAAACTTGTCCAGACGTTTCCTGACTAATGACAGATGAAAATCCCCCTTCTCTGAATGTTGTTATGGGATGATAAACATTGAGATACTCCTTTATAACCACCCCATCTGGGCTCCTGGGGGCTTTATCCAATGGACTCTCAGTAAAGAGCTAAGAATATTATTTTACATGGTAGCACCTTGCATCCCAAATCAGGGCATATGCATGAAATGCAGCCACCTGGGTGGTGGAGCAGTATCTCAAAGCACATGGGACGGTTTTGCTGACCGAGCCTCTACTGTTAGTTAAAGGGCCATAGCATCATTAGTAACATCCACACAGAGGTCACAGGATTTCGTTGTTTAAATCTATCCAGGTATTTATAGGCCTGTCATATATGAAGGTCGGATGCCTCAGGGCAAAGTGAATGTAAGCTGCTATCCAATCAGAATGGTAACATTTTGTCCCCCCCTCTGCCCTGGGGTAAGTGCCTGGGCAAGAAAGAATCAGGCTCTGAGTGCCTAATTACCTTTGGAACCCCTCCCCCCCGACGCCAGGCACACAGCTGATCCACCTCAGAAGGATGGTTTGTCCCTCTTGAGATGTGACCACCCTACCCCCCCCCCCCCGTTTCCAGCCAAGCTGCTGAGGCGCACCTGATGGTAGCGAAGTCATCCTCTGCCGCTGCTAAAGCTAGCAAGCATGCCTGGAGCCCGGGCTTTCCTGGTGAGTCAGTGTAAATCAACGAGCACACTCACCCCGCCATGGTGGACAGACCGTGCCTGCCATTTGTTTCAACTGAGTCACACTAGAAGTTGGCCTGTCATTTTTGTTGTTGCGTGCGTTGGTTAAATGCAACTCATTAGCATAGATGGTCTGGGGGCAGGCGGGAGAAACCCTAATGAGTCCAGCTGGCAGTGTTCCAACGGGGCCAGCTAGGAAGGAAGGAAGGAAGGAAGGAAGATCAGATCTGGAGCCTGGCATCCCTGAGAGCCGCAGCCCTTCTCGTTGTCTGGCTGGCAAAGTGATGTGGCTTGGATTGTACATGCAGTTGTTCTGAGCGAGAGGAGACCAGGGGATGTGCAGTAAAAGAAGTGCCAGGAGATGATTCGCTTCCACAATCCGGGCAAAATTCTCCTTTCGGGACCACATGGTGCAGTTTGGATGCAACATTCCCCTGTGCCTGTGTGTGCTCCCTCCCCCCATTGTGAGCTCTAGGGGTGAGCTATCTAGCTCTCATCACTGTAGTATCTGGGCACCTTCGAATCAGCAATGGATTCTGTCATCGTGACCCCGCAACCCCCCATGAGGAAAGGAAGGATTAGCTCCATTCTATGGCTGGGGAGCTGCAGCACTGGGTAGATTAAATGATTTGCCCAAGGTCACCCGCTGAGTCGGTGGCACAGTTGGGACTTGAACCCATGACGCTGCAGTCCTGGTCTCATGACCTATCCCATAGAGTTTGCTTTTTGAGAGGGAGACAGAGCTTGTGGTTAGGGCTTGTGGAACTGGGGTTTAATTTGCTGCTCAGCCATAGACACTCGGTGTGACCTTGCGCAAGTCACTCAGGCCCAGCTCTTAACACCATTGATTTAATCTCTTTGCTTCAATTTCCCCTTCTGTACAACTGGGATCAATCACCTTTTGTCTCCTCTATTTAGGCCAGGAGCTCTTCAGGGCAGGTACTCTCTCTTCCCATGCGTCTGCACAGCGCCTGGCACAATGCGACCTTGATCTTGGTTGGAGCCTCTAGGTGCTGCTGCAATACAAATAATAGATAGGGAGAGCTGGGGTGGATAAGGACGGAACGGGGCCCTGATCCACCACAGATAACCATGACCTTACTCACTGCCGACACTCCCTCACCCCTTGTGTCCTTGATCTTCCCTTCCCTGTTACCTTGATAAAGTGACTCTTGGTTTTTCATGGACTCGCTAGTGAGTTGGGCACCTTCTGGCCTCTGGATCCAGCCTTGGTCCATGCCTTTGGAGAGTTGAACACTGCAGCTGCACAACGTGCACCTGGGAGCAAAATGAACATGGTTTAGTGATTACAGCAGAGGGCTGTGAGGAATCAGGCCTCCAGGGTTCTCTTCCATACCCTGTCCCTGACTCACTGTATGACCCTGAGCAAGTCACCTCACTGTTCTGTGTCTCAGTTTCCCCTATATAGAATGGGACCATTAGTATGTGAATGTTTCCTATCCCCTAACAACATTTTTACAGGGAGCGAAGGAAACGAACGTGAGTATTTCGCTCCAGTAGCACTACCCCACCCTTGGAAAGTGCTTTGAGATCCTCTGAGGAAAGGTGCTAGAGGCAGTCAGTGTTGCAGTGGGAAATTCTGAAAAACAAAGGCTGTTTCTTTAGTGCATCAAATATCCTGGGGCCAGAGATACCGCTGGTATAAATTAGCATATCACCACTGCATTCATTT